ACACACACACACACACACACACAGACACACACACAGTCTGATATTATCCAATAATTGGCTCTAAATTCAGTTGCAGACCTTGTCTGGCCACCCTCTTGTTATTTTCTTGACCATGTTAACCTCAGATTTGAATAGGCTATATTTGAACTGAAATCAGAAAAAATATTGCAGACCCCAACAATGTACCCCAACATAGCTCATGGCTAATTAATTTAGGCTACTACTTGCCAATCAGTTATTGTAGGTAAAATGTTGTTAAAGAATGTATACATCAATTTGCTCTAAAAGTTTAACTCCATCTAAAAGTATGTTTCCTAAGTATTTAGATTTTAGAAATACATTTATTAGAAAGTTGACCTTTAACATTTTTCAATTGAATTTGAGACTTGGGGACATTAAGGAAACTTCAAGCAAATTGAAACATTGAGTGTACAAACTATTTGTGTGACATTATTAATTTACATTCCATTAAAAAAATAGAATCCATATATATAATTTAATTTGTACAGTAATCTAATTACACTGTTGAAAATGTAATTAGTAACTAGTAATTAAGTACTTTTTAAGAGTAACTTACCCAACACTGTGTATATATATATATATATATACACACATCATTAATTAGTAAAATGACCATGGCAAAAATTCTAACCATTGATAATGTTATTGTATATATATATTAACGTTTGCTAGTATAAATTGAAAAATATGACAGAAAATCAAATTTATACACATCAAAACTCAATACTTCTCAATAACTCAATAATACACTGCTTTTGATACTGTTTCACATAAGATACTTCTCGACAGGTTAGCTTCTATTGGGATTACTGGCACTTTTATTCTGGAAAACGTGTCATGGCTGCAGCTGCTGTACGTACACATGGATAACACTGAAATAGTTAGCTTCATCTAGAGGATTTCAAAAGTTTTAAAGGATATAACATCCCTCTGTCGTTTGAAAGCACTTTCTCGTTTCCAGCGCGGATTCGCTGAAGGTAAAGTGTGCTTGTAAAGACGGACTTGATGTAATGTCAGTGTGCTCGCGACTGAAGGTCATGATTAAGCTGGTTTATCATTGATGGAGATGCTTTGTAATCTCTCTGCAGCATGTCTGTGTTTGGAGGAGTGTTCCGTCAGTCCTCGGCTCGACTCTTCAGCACAGGTGTGTGGTGCTCTCTCTCTCTTCAGCACAGGTATGTGTGGTGCTCTCTCTCTCTCTCTCCCTCTCTTCCGCACAGGTGTGTGGGGGGCTCTCTCTCTCTCTCTCTCTCTCCCTCTCTTCCGCACAGGTGTGTGGGGGGCTCTCTCTCTCTCTCTCTCTCTCCCTCTCTTCCGCACAGGTGTGTGGGGGGCTCTCTCTCTCTCTCTCTCTCTCCCTCTCTTCCGCACAGGTGTGTGGGGGGCTCTCTCTCTCTCTCTCTCTCTCCCTCTCTTCCGCACAGGTGTGTGGGGGGCTCTCTCTCTCTCTCTCTCTCTCCCTCTCTTCCGCACAGGTGTGTGGGGGGCTCTCTCTCTCTCTCTCTCTCTCCCTCTCTTCCGCACAGGTGTGTGGGGGGCTCTCTCTCTCTCTCTCTCTCTCCCTCTCTTCCGCACAGGTGTGTGGGGGGCTCTCTCTCTCTCTCTCTCTCTCCCTCTCTTCCGCACAGGTGTGTGGGGGGCTCTCTCTCTCTCTCTCTCTCTCCCTCTCTTCCGCACAGGTGTGTGGGGGGCTCTCTCTCTCTCTCTCTCTCTCCCTCTCTTCCGCACAGGTGTGTGGGGGGCTCTCTCTCTCTCTCTCTCTCTCCCTCTCTTCCGCACAGGTGTGTGGGGGGCTCTCTCTCTCTCTCTCTCTCTCCCTCTCTTCCGCACAGGTGTGTGGGGGGCTCTCTCTCTCTCTCTCTCTCTCCCTCTCTTCCGCACAGGTGTGTGGGGGGCTCTCTCTCTCTCTCTCTCTCTCCCTCTCTTCCGCACAGGTGTGTGGGGGGCTCTCTCTCTCTCTCTCTCTCTCCCTCTCTTCCGCACAGGTGTGTGGGGGGCTCTCTCTCTCTCTCTCTCTCTCCCTCTCTTCCGCACAGGTGTGTGGGGGGCTCTCTCTCTCTCTCTCTCTCTCCCTCTCTTCCGCACAGGTGTGTGGGGGGCTCTCTCTCTCTCTCTCTCTCTCCCTCTCTTCCGCACAGGTGTGTGGGGGGCTCTCTCTCTCTCTCTCTCTCTCCCTCTCTTCCGCACAGGTGTGTGGGGGGCTCTCTCTCTCTCTCTCTCTCTCCCTCTCTTCCGCACAGGTGTGTGGGGGGCTCTCTCTCTCTCTCTCTCTCTCCCTCTCTTCCGCACAGGTGTGTGGGGGGCTCTCTCTCTCTCTCTCTCTCTCCCTCTCTTCCGCACAGGTGTGTGGGGGGCTCTCTCTCTCTCTCTCTCTCTCCCTCTCTTCCGCACAGGTGTGTGGGGGGCTCTCTCTCTCTCTCTCTCTCTCCCTCTCTTCCGCACAGGTGTGTGGGGGGCTCTCTCTCTCTCTCTCTCTCTCCCTCTCTTCCGCACAGGTGTGTGGGGGGCTCTCTCTCTCTCTCTCTCTCTCCCTCTCTTCCGCACAGGTGTGTGGGGGGCTCTCTCTCTCTCTCTCTCTCTCCCTCTCTTCCGCACAGGTGTGTGGGGGGCTCTCTCTCTCTCTCTCTCTCTCCCTCTCTTCCGCACAGGTGTGTGGGGGGCTCTCTCTCTCTCTCTCTCTCTCCCTCTCTTCCGCACAGGTGTGTGGGGGGCTCTCTCTCTCTCTCTCTCTCTCCCTCTCTTCCGCACAGGTGTGTGGGGGGCTCTCTCTCTCTCTCTCTCTCTCCCTCTCTTCCGCACAGGTGTGTGGGGGGCTCTCTCTCTCTCTCTCTCTCTCCCTCTCTTCCGCACAGGTGTGTGGGGGGCTCTCTCTCTCTCTCTCTCTCTCCCTCTCTTCCGCACAGGTGTGTGGGGGGCTCTCTCTCTCTCTCTCTCTCTCCCTCTCTTCCGCACAGGTGTGTGGGGGGCTCTCTCTCTCTCTCTCTCTCTCCCTCTCTTCCGCACAGGTGTGTGGGGGGCTCTCTCTCTCTCTCTCTCTCTCCCTCTCTTCCGCACAGGTGTGTGGGGGGCTCTCTCTCTCTCTCTCTCTCTCCCTCTCTTCCGCACAGGTGTGTGGGGGGCTCTCTCTCTCTCTCTCTCTCTCCCTCTCTTCCGCACAGGTGTGTGGGGGGCTCTCTCTCTCTCTCTCTCTCTCCCTCTCTTCCGCACAGGTGTGTGGGGGGCTCTCTCTCTCTCTCTCTCTCTCCCTCTCTTCCGCACAGGTGTGTGGGGGGCTCTCTCTCTCTCTCTCTCTCTCCCTCTCTTCCGCACAGGTGTGTGGGGGGCTCTCTCTCTCTCTCTCTCTCTCCCTCTCTTCCGCACAGGTGTGTGGGGGGCTCTCTCTCTCTCTCTCTCTCTCCCTCTCTTCCGCACAGGTGTGTGGGGGGCTCTCTCTCTCTCTCTCTCTCTCCCTCTCTTCCGCACAGGTGTGTGGGGGGCTCTCTCTCTCTCTCTCTCTCTCCCTCTCTTCAGCACAGGTGTGTGTGGTGCTCTCTCTCTTCAGCACAGGTACGTGTGGTGCTCTCCCTCTCTCTCTCTCTCTCTCTTCAGCACAGGTGTGTGTGGTGCTCTCTCTCTCTCTCTCCCTCTCCCTCTCTTCAGCACAGGTGTGCGTGGTGCGCTCTCTCTCTTCAGCACAGGTATGTGTGGTGCTCTCCCTCTCTCTCTCCCTCTCTTCAGCACAGGTGTGCGTGGTGCGCTCTCTCTCTTCAGCACAGGGGTGTGGGGTGCTCTCTCTCTCTCTCTCCCTCTCTTCAGCACAGGTGTGCGTGGTGCGCTCTCTCTCTTCAGCACAGGGGTGTGGGGTGCTCTCTCTCTCTCTCTCCCTCTCTTCAGCACAGGTGTGCGTGGTGCGCTCTCTCTCTTCAGCACAGGGGTGTGGGGTGCTCTCTCTCTCTCTCTCCCTCTCTTCAGCACAGGTGTGCGTGGTGCGCTCTCTCTCTTCAGCACAGGGGTGTGGGGTGCTCTCTCTCTCTCTCTCCCTCTCTTCAGCACAGGTGTGCGTGGTGCGCTCTCTCTCTTCAGCACAGGGGTGTGGGGTGCTCTCTCTCTCTCTCTCCCTCTCTTCAGCACAGGTGTGCGTGGTGCGCTCTCTCTCTTCAGCACAGGGGTGTGGGGTGCTCTCTCTCTCTCTCTCCCTCTCTTCAGCACAGGTGTGCGTGGTGCGCTCTCTCTCTTCAGCACAGGGGTGTGGGGTGCTCTCTCTCTCTCTCTCCCTCTCTTCAGCACAGGTGTGCGTGGTGCGCTCTCTCTCTTCAGCACAGGGGTGTGGGGTGCTCTCTCTCTCTCTCTCCCTCTCTTCAGCACAGGTGTGCGTGGTGCGCTCTCTCTCTTCAGCACAGGGGTGTGGGGTGCTCTCTCTCTCTCTCTCCCTCTCTTCAGCACAGGTGTGCGTGGTGCGCTCTCTCTCTTCAGCACAGGGGTGTGGGGTGCTCTCTCTCTCTCTCTCCCTCTCTTCAGCACAGGTGTGCGTGGTGCGCTCTCTCTCTTCAGCACAGGGGTGTGGGGTGCTCTCTCTCTCTCTCTCCCTCTCTTCAGCACAGGTGTGCGTGGTGCGCTCTCTCTCTTCAGCACAGGGGTGTGGGGTGCTCTCTCTCTCTCTCTCCCTCTCTTCAGCACAGGTGTGCGTGGTGCGCTCTCTCTCTTCAGCACAGGGGTGTGGGGTGCTCTCTCTCTCTCTCTCCCTCTCTTCAGCACAGGTGTGCGTGGTGCGCTCTCTCTCTTCAGCACAGGGGTGTGGGGTGCTCTCTCTCTCTCTCTCCCTCTCTTCAGCACAGGTGTGCGTGGTGCGCTCTCTCTCTTCAGCACAGGGGTGTGGGGTGCTCTCTCTCTCTCTCTCCCTCTCTTCAGCACAGGTGTGCGTGGTGCGCTCTCTCTCTTCAGCACAGGGGTGTGGGGTGCTCTCTCTCTCTCTCTCCCTCTCTTCAGCACAGGTGTGCGTGGTGCGCTCTCTCTCTTCAGCACAGGGGTGTGGGGTGCTCTCTCTCTCTCTCTCCCTCTCTTCAGCACAGGTGTGCGTGGTGCGCTCTCTCTCTTCAGCACAGGGGTGTGGGGTGCTCTCTCTCTCTCTCTCCCTCTCTTCAGCACAGGTGTGCGTGGTGCGCTCTCTCTCTTCAGCACAGGGGTGTGGGGTGCTCTCTCTCTCTCTCTCCCTCTCTTCAGCACAGGTGTGCGTGGTGCGCTCTCTCTCTTCAGCACAGGGGTGTGGGGTGCTCTCTCTCTCTCTCTCCCTCTCTTCAGCACAGGTGTGCGTGGTGCGCTCTCTCTCTTCAGCACAGGGGTGTGGGGTGCTCTCTCTCTCTCTCTCCCTCTCTTCAGCACAGGTGTGCGTGGTGCGCTCTCTCTCTTCAGCACAGGGGTGTGGGGTGCTCTCTCTCTCTCTCTCCCTCTCTTCAGCACAGGTGTGCGTGGTGCGCTCTCTCTCTTCAGCACAGGGGTGTGGGGTGCTCTCTCTCTCTCTCTCCCTCTCTTCAGCACAGGTGTGCGTGGTGCGCTCTCTCTCTTCAGCACAGGGGTGTGGGGTGCTCTCTCTCTCTCTCTCCCTCTCTTCAGCACAGGTGTGCGTGGTGCGCTCTCTCTCTTCAGCACAGGGGTGTGGGGTGCTCTCTCTCTCTCTCTCCCTCTCTTCAGCACAGGTGTGTGTGGTGCTCTCTCTCTCTCTGCTGTAATGTGTGCATGTGAGTAAAGTGTTGTTGCTGTCTCACGCAGGCACGTGCGCTAGAACACGAATGCACGCGGTTCCCAAACTGAGAGAGCTGGACCGATGGACGGAGAAGAGAGGCGTGTTTGGGGTCTATGACAACATCGGGATCTTGGGTGAGTTCCTGTCTCAACACAAAAGTCGTAAGAAAATGTGTGCCGCCTGCATATTTGTGTCAAAACTTTGCATGCACATGCGTTACCCTAAATGAGAAATATTACAAAAAATAAACAGTTTAACCAGTATTTCAAGCAGTTTGAAAAGTGAATGCAGGTCAAACTGAACCTGACACTACAGGAAGGTTTTAAAATGTTTTTTACTAATCTTCATTGAGTAATCAGGCACTACTGTAATAAAAGCCTGCATCTCATTATCTTTCGCCAGTGTTCATATTTTTGCTCTCAAATCAATTAGAGACGAAATGTGAACATACAGTAAAGATACGGTCAAATTTAAGACATTTTTTTTTACTAAATGAACACTTATATGCATGCACCAAAATAAAAATGCACAGCAAAAATTTATTTGATATCAACTTGTGTGTAAAATGCCTCTCAGAAAGTTCCATGAACGCGATGCACACAAACAAATTGTTGTATTTTGAACGGATTCATTCTGACACATTAAAATGAATCGCTCTTTCTGGTTCTAATGGATCTCAACAGGGGTTTAAATTAGAGATTTAAACTCTTAAAACTGGAAATCATGACACAAGGATTGACCTACCAGGAGAGTCTTTAGGAAATATAATGGACACATTTCATTACAATGTTCATATCACCAGCAATTCATTTTCTAAGTCTTCTGTCAGCACTAGGCTGTATGGCACATTGATCAGCATTGACTGTGTTTGACTGCAGGAGATTTTAAAGCTCATCCAAAAGACCTGATCCGGGGACCGGTGTGGCTCCGAGGCTTCAGCGGAAACGAGCTCCAGCGGCTCATCAGGAAGAAGCGGATGGTGGGAGGGCGAATGCTGACCGAGGACAAGCACAGCCTGGATAAGAGGATCAGCTTCCTGTACCGCCGCTTCAACAGATACGGCAAACACCGATAGATTCTGCCTTCATTTGTGCAAAAAGCAAGCTGCATTTCCATTCATTAAACTGTCAAAATTCTTTAACGTCGTCATCATTACAAAAGATTGACCTTGAATGCTGAAGAGTTGCATTAAAAAGATTTATTTAAAAAAATTCATAATTTTGCAACAAAAAAAATCTTATTGATTCCTGGAAGAGAGTTGAGTGATTTCCCGCATGCTAATGCTCCTCAGTGTGCTCGTCTGGTCTGGGATCAGCGAGGACTGAAGAATCCTGTGCCGTGACCGGATGCTCCGACTCCATCTGACGGGAACAACCAGAACACACACTTTACATCACGCGTCACTATTGCTGCGTTTGTGCACCAATGATTCCTCTAATCATGAGGAGAGGTGTGATGTTTTAAATAGTAAGTTATTGGAGATGTGCACATTTCTACAGACATGAACGTGCATGAAAATAAACAAGTCCTTTTCTTGGTGGAATACAGTTTTATACATTGAGTCACTGACAAACTACTGTTTGGGGTCAGTAAGATTTTTATTTATAAGAAATTAATACTTTTATTCAGCAAAGTCAAGACATTTATAACGTTGCTAAATATTTCTATTTAAAATAAATACGGTTCTTTTGAACTTTCTATTCAGCTGTGAATCCTGAAAAATAAAATGTATCGCAGTTTCCACAAAAATATGAATGTTTTCAACACTGATAATAATCAGAAATGTTTCTTGAGCAGCATATTATACTGATTTCTGAAGATCATGTGACACTGAAGACTGGAGTAATGATGCTGAAAATACAGCTGCGCATCACAGAAATACATTACAGTTTAACATAGATTCACATAGAAAACAGCTGTTTTTAATTGCAACAATATTTCGCTTTGTTACTGTGTTTTTGATCAAATGAATGCAGCCTTGGTGAACAGAAGAGACTAAATGTTTGGTCAGTAATAACTGCATGTGTCACGGGTTTCTATTCTTTAAACCGATGTCGTGGGTGTCTCATACCTGTGCGTCTCGCTTTCGGTCCTTTGGGACCCGGTGCCTCTTTCTCTTTGGTCCAGCTGCTGACTGACGAGGAAACGTTGGAGAAGAGCTGTCTTCATCAGCACCCACAGCTGAATCCAAACCTGCCTTCCCTTCATCCTGTATGAACACATCGAGTGTTTAATGTGCCATCAGCCACTGATATGAACTACACTCTTAGAACAAATAGATTCATTACTACTGAAGATCAGAATTGGGTGTGAACAGCTGTATGTCGAACAGTTTAAATGAAGCTTGAGTTGTGGATCATCAGCGTGTTTCTCACCTCCAGTGTGATGGTGAGCTGTGCTGTCCTGTAATCATCTCCATACGAGTCCAGAGTCTTCATCAGAAACCTGACACACACACACAGGTTTACATTTGTGAAAAGTGGGGACTCTCCATAGGCGTAATGGTTTTTATACTGTACAGACCGTATATTCTATTGTCCTACACCAACCCTACCCCTAAACCTACCCCTCACAGGAGACTTTCTGCTATTTCAGATTTTCAATACACTCCAGACAGACACAGACACACACTCACTCACTCACTCACACACGCGCACACACACACACTCACACACACACACAGAGACACACACGCACACACACTCATTCACTCACACGCACACACATTCACTCACACACACACACTCACTCACAGACACACACTCACACACACACACTCACTCACTCACTCACACACGCGCACACACACTCACACACACACACACACACACACACTCTCTCTCACACACACACACACACACACACACTCTCTCTCACACACACACACACACACACACACTCTCTCTCACACACACACACACACACACACACTCTCTCTCACACACACACACACACACACACACTCTCTCTCACACACACACACACACACACACACTCTCTCTCACACACACACACACACACACACACTCTCTCTCACACACACACACACACACACACACTCTCTCTCACACACACACACACACACACACACTCTCTCTCACACACACACACACACACACACACTCTCTCTCACACACACACACACACACACACACTCTCTCTCACACACACACACACACACACACACTCTCTCTCACACACACACACACACACACACACTCTCTCTCACACACACACACACACACACACACTCTCTCTCACACACACACACACACACACACACTCTCTCTCACACACACACACACACACACACACTCTCTCTCACACACACACACACACACACACACTCTCTCTCACACACACACACACACACACACACTCTCTCTCACACACACACACACACACACACACTCTCTCTCACACACACACACACACACACACACTCTCTCTCACACACACACACACACACACACACTCTCTCACTCACACACACACACTCACACAGACACACACACTCACACTCACTCACTCACACTCACTCACTCACACACACACATTCAGCTGTTAGACGCACTGTTCACTCTATACTTTACAGTATTAGTTGGGTTTTTATGTAAATTGATGTGTACCTGAAATATATATATATATACATATATATAAAAAAAATACAAATGCATTTTTGGTTATTATCAGTTCTATCCATTGTTGGATTGAATTTATGTTGGACTCGTGGCCATTTTTATTTCTAATTATAAATAAATAAATAAATGCCTTCTAATTCTTGGCACTTCATTTCATTATATTGGGAGAATATTAATTGTAAAGTAAGTATTTGAATAAAAGGTTAATTGAATAAGTTAATGTTATTTATTGGTAAGATAACCAACGGATTAATCAACTAACCAGATTTATGAGGTGGCAAAGATGTTGTTAGATTAATCAAAAAAACAATAGATTTAAGGAATAGTTCACCCAAAAATAAAAAATAGAAGAAAATGTGCTCACTCTCAGTCCATCTAAGATGTAGATGAGTTTGTTTCTTCATCAGGTTTGGAGAAATGTAGCATTGCATCAGTGTCCAGAAGCTCGGAGTTAATATCACAGCACATCCCACCACTGCTTTACAGATAAAGATGTTAATAATCTTACTGATTAAACACAAACTAAGCATGCTCTCTATGAACTCACATGGAGCGTTTCTGTTCTGCAATATCAATATGATTATGAATATGCTAATATATGAATTAGTTAATAATACTGCAAAGCCCATACATGATTCAGCCAGCTAATTATAAATCCTGCAGGTATGTGTACTCCTCCTCAGTTCCGTCTATACATAATTTAAACGATACATCTGACAAAAGCAAGAATTAGCCTGCTTCATTTGATCAAATAAAAGTAAACATCTACACGTTCATCCACACCGTCGAACCAACGAGGCGCGTTTTAAACACGTCATTGACCGTTCAGCCAATCCACAGCGAATGCGTCACCAGTATTTGTTATCGAACTACAATTCCCACGATACCTGAAACAGGACTACAGAAGCAAACATGGCGGCCGGTAAGTATATTTCTGCGTGTTAGCTGCCTGAAAGATGTTTTATTTTAGTTTGGCTCGATCGTATTTACAAAAACAGGCAGTTCATGAGAGCTATTGCAATCTATTCGTGCACTAAAAATAATGATTGTATGATGTGCGAATACGAGAATGACCTTGGTCTCATACTAGCTGTGCTCTGCTTTAAACACGAATAAATGATAACTCATCTGACAAACACAATTATGGCAGAATCTACCATGGCTTGTTTTCGACGTGTACCGTGGTATTCTAAGAATACATGGCAATGTACTGTGAAATATTATCAAGAACCATGGTATGATCATATGATAAGGGGTTAAGCACTGAAATCAAACTCTCTGTTTCTCTAGTTGGCAGGTTTCTGAAGAACGCTTGGAATAAAGAGCCAGTGATCACAGTTTCCTGTGGGATCGGGCTGCTGGGTGACTGAGATATTAATGCATCACATTATAGGTCTTAATCTTCCTGCTTTATGAATCTAACATGTTTTTATTAATTTATTGTGTTTCAGCTTGCCTTCTGCCGGCTTTGAGCCCTTTAACAAAATACACAGGAATGATGAACCGAGCTATTCCGTACAATTATCCAGGTATAGTATCCTCATGCGGTGTGTAAACGCCCGACACCAGGGTTATTGGGGTGTTTCTTCGATTAGGGGAATATTTTGAGATACTTGATTTTTGACTTTCATGAGCTGTAAGCTCTAATCATAAAAATTAAAACAAAAAACCTTTTGAAATGTTTTACTTTACGTGTAAAGAATGTATGAAAGTTTCACTTTTTGAAATAAGATACAAAAAAAAGAACGTTTTCTATTCTATTTCTATTCTATTTTTTTTAGATGCACCTGTGTATATATATATATATATATATATATATATATATACACTCACGCACTCACTCACTCGCACACACACACTCGCACACTCACACGCGCACACACACTCATACTCACGCACTCACTCTCTCTCACACACGCGCACACACACATACTCACACTCACGCACACACATGCACACATTCACTCACGCACACACATACTCACACTCACACACGCACACACACTCATACTCACGCACTCACTCTCTCTTTCACACACACACGCACACACGCGCACACACATACTCACACTCATACTCACACTCACACACGCACATACTCACATGCACACATTCACTCACGCACACACATACTCACACTCACACACGCACACACACTCATACTCACGCACTCACTCTCTCTTTCACACACACACGCACACACGCGCACACACATACTCACACTCATACTCACACTCACACACGCACATACTCACATGCACACATTCACTCACGCACACACATACTCACACGCACACATACACACTCACTCACACACGCACACTCACTCACACGCGCACACTCACTCACACGCGCACACTCACTCACACGCGCACACTCACTCACACGCGCACACTCACTCACACACACACATACTCACACTCACGCACACACATACTCACACTCACACTCACATATACTCACATGCACACATTCACTCACGCACACACATACTCACACGCACACATGCACACTCACTCACACACTCACTCACACACACTCACTCACACGCGCACACTCACTCACACGCACTCGCACGCACTCTTTCACATGCGCACACACTCGCACTCACTCACACGCACACACACACGCTCGCACACACACACATACTCACACACACTCGCACTCACACACATACTCACACTCACTCACACACACACATACTCACACACATACTCACGCACACACGCACACTCACTCACACACATACTCACACACACTCACATGCACACACGCACACACATACTCACTCACACGCACTCACTCACACACACTTACTCACTCACACTCACGCACTCACACACACTCACATGCACACACATACTCACTCACACGCACTCACTCACACACACTTACTCACTCACACTCACGCACTCACACACACTCACATGCACACACATACTCACTCACACGCACTCACTCACTCACACGCACAAACATACTCACGCACACACACACACACTCGCACTCACACACATACTCACACTCACTCACGCACACACATACTCACACACATACTCACGCACACACGCACACTCACTCACACACATACTCACACACACTCACATGCACACACACACTCACATGCACACACATACTCACTCACACGCACTCACTCACACACACTCACATGCACACACATACTCACTCACACGCACTCACTCACACACACTCACATGCACACACATACTCACTCACACGCACTCACTCACTCACGCACACACATACTCACGCACACACACACGCACTCATGCACTCACACATACTCACACACACTCACATGCACACACATACTCACACACTCACACGCACTCACTCACTCACTCACACGCACACACTCACTCACTCACTCACTCACACACACACACATACTCACACACACTCACATGCACACTCACACGCACTCACTCACTCACATGCACACATACTCACACACACTCACACGCACACACATACTCACACTCACACACTCACACGCACACACTCACTCACTCACACTCACACGCACACACATACTCACGCACACACATACTCACACGCGCACATACTCACACGCGCACACGCACTCACACGCAATCACTCACTCACACTCTCACACACATACTCACACTCACGCACACACACACTCACACGCACTTTCTCACACGCACACACTCACTCACTCACACGCACACACATACTCACACACACACACTCACACACTCACACGCGCTCACTCACACTCACACGCATACTCACACTCACGCACACACACACTCACACGCACACACATACTCACACGCACACACATACTCACACGCACTCACACGCGCACACACATACTCGCACTCACACACACACACACTCACTCACACGCACTCACACGCAATCACTCACTCACTCACACGCATACTCACACTCACGCACACTCACACACACACACACACACACTCACTCACTCTAATCATAAAAATTAAAACAAAAAACCTTTTGAAATGTTTTACTTAACATGTACTGAACCTAGAATGTATGAAAGTTTCACTTTTTGAAATGTTACAAAAAAAAGAACTTGTTCACGATATTCATTTTTTGAGATGCACCTGTATGTGTGTGTATATGTGTGTGTATATGTATATATATATATATATATATATATATATCTTTGTGATACTATTATTTTGTATCTTATTATGTATTATATTATTATGTTTTTATTATTTTGAATTTTCATTTTTATATTTTCATTTTAATTTAGTTATTTTAAAGTAATGTTTTGTTTTTTTATATTTATACATGTGTATATATAGTTTTTATACATTTTATTTCAGTTGTAGTTATTTTAGTACATAAAGTTAAACTAAATTAAAATATGTGGCTTTGGAAACTATCTGAAAGAAAAGGTTTTGTATATTTCATTTCTGTGAACATTTATTCTATTTCAGGAATCAAAAATGTTTTTTTTTGTTGTGGTTTTTAGTTATAGTTAGCTGAAATAATCCCAATTTTTAATAATACATTTACTGATTTATTTTGCAGTCCAATGTTTATATTGAAAGGCTTGAGCTCATGAATCTGTAATTAGTTTTAGTTTCTCTCCTCAGTCCCAGTTCGAGATGATGGAAACATGCCAGACGTCCCAGCGCATCCCCGTGACCCGCAGGGGAAGAACCTGGATTGGCTGAAAAACCTGTGAAAGCCCTTCAGAGTCATGTACAGTCACACTCGCCTCTACTTCTGTCTCAATAAAAGCCCTTTATTTAATTACCCTCTATATATTGTAGATTATTTTAGTCTTTCACAAAATAGACTTGCCATATCAGTAATAAACACCATATCTTTTATTCTGCTACAGTTTTGTAAGATTCATTGGCTTTTATCATAATAGCAAAAACAAGTCCAAACCAGAGATTAACTTTGTTTATTGAAGTTCATTTGAAAGACTATACAGTTATCATGAAGTGAAAGCGTTCAAGAGTTCAAAATGTGTGAGTGATGTGTAGAGTATCAGGCTGAGTCGTACAGTAAAGTCCTGCTTTAAGTGCCAGTGCTCGCTGTTCTCTGGGGTGTTTAGTAAAAGTAGTGTGAGCAGGGATCAAAGTTAAACTCGCACTAATACAGACTAACATGCAGCGGCGTCCAAATGTCTGAGATGCTTTTCATTTCAACAGTCTAAGATTTAAATGAATTTAATACAAAGAAATGAGCATTAATCAAGTGTACAGGTGCATCTCAAAAAATCTGAATATGGAAAAGTTCTTTATTTTTTGTAATTTAATTAAAAAAAGCTAACTTTCTTATAGCCTAGATTCAGTGCACACAAACTGAAATATTTCAAGTTTTTGTTTTAATTCCGATGGTTACGACTTTTTTTGAGATGCACCTGTAAATAAGCTCAAGATGCTCCTGATCATCTCCGATGATGACGACAACAACATGATCAAATATCAAATTCATGTTCATTTTATTAATGTAATTATATTTTATGAAAAAAAAAATTTCTCACTATTACAGTATACCATTATATTTGCATATATTAAGGTTGGAGATTAACCTTTTAGCATTATTCAACTTAAGATATCTTTATAATAGAAAAAATTAATAAATGAAGGTATCAGAACAAACCGACCCTGGAGTGGAGAAATAATTCAAACATTTGTGAACAAAGGTCTCACCATTAATAATTAGTTAGATTGGTATCAGTGTAAAACCTCACAACGATAAGCAACTTTTAAGACAATTCAGAAACAATTGAACTTACAGTAACACACAAACTCAAAAGTAAATGAATCATATTCTTTTTGGTTAATTTCGAATACATCGTTAAGTCTTCTCTGTCCCAAAATAATGGTGAAAAAGGGTCAGAAAGACGTTTTCAGCTGATTTCTCATCTATCTGTCACGTCCTCCAGCACGTCTACACTTTCCAGACCTTCTGTCACGTCTCTGCACGGTCTCAAGCTTTAGTTTTAGAGAGCTGGGGTTTAACAAAACACTTAAGAGCAGACGGAAGGGAGACCAGAGACCAGAGCGAGAGCCTCTTCACGTCACACTTTCTCAAACACAACGCTTTTCCAAAATCCTTTCCAACTCTCTCAAAGCCTTTCTATATATAACTATACTCCATTCTCCTGCTTTTGACTCCAACAGTCCCTTCACCTGCTTCTCCCAGAATGCTCTAGGATACCTTGTCTTTATTCAATATTTAAAAATACATAAAATAAGTTCTAGGAGAAAGTATCTTATTTTGTGTGGGAAGTACACTCAGGAACAGTTCACCCAAAAATTATAGATAGCATGTGGAATGACACGAGTGAGTAAATATTTCATGAAACTAAATTGTGAATCGTCTCCACAAATATCAGATATACCAAGAACATCTACGTTTCGTCAAAACTGACTTTCATTGTAGACATTACAGTAAAGGAGTTAAAATACTGAAGAAACTGTTGTTCATAATATGGAGTTAAATGTTAAAGGTCAGTGCACTCATACATAAAGACCTTGAAATATTTCATTTTTCTGATAATGTAATATATATAGAATATACATTTGATCTGCTAAATCCTAAATGATCTAAATGCACTTAATTCTCTCAGAAGTGTCAAATCTGGGTTATTCAGTGAAACGGAGGCATGAAGCATTCACAGGAGCATCTCTGGCTGTCGATCAAAGGCTCTGCTGTATCAGTGGGGCGGAGCGATCATTGGTCACCGTCTTCTTGAGGCGAATATGAGCGAACGGGTTGATCCTGTGAAGAGGGGACGGTTAAATGAACTAACCCATCAGCCGTGCAGAGCTCTTCTGAACACAGGGGACTAGCTTTACCTGCTGGGTGATGGAGGCGTCGAGGTGAAATCAGTCGACGTCTGAGGAAAACACGTCAGTGTCAGCAGAACATAAAACAATACATTCTAAATCTGTGCATGATTTAGTCAGAAAGAGAAATAAGTGAACATTTACAATGAAAAAAGTTCCAATGAGAAAAAAAAATGTTATATGTGAGCCTGCAGCACAGAAGCAGTGTTGAGTCGCTGGGGGATATTTGTAGCAATAGCCAACAATACATTGTATGGGTCAAAACTATACATTTCTCTTTTATGCCAAAAATCATTAGGATATTAAGTAGAGATCATGTTCCATGAAGATATTTTGTAAATGTCCTACCGTAAATATATCAAAACTTAATTTTTGATTAGTAATATGCATTGCTAAGAACTTCATTTGGACAACTTTAAAGATGATTTTCTCAATATTTAGATTTTTTTGCACCCTCAGATTCCAGATTTTCAAATATAGTCCTATCCTAACAAACCATACATCAATGGAAAGCTTATTTATTCAGCGAAAAATTGACTCTTAAGACTGGTTTTGTGCTCCAGGGTCACAAATAAGAATCATCTTGAGACACTACAGGCAACACCACTGGGGTTTCATGCACTGCTCAGTTTTGAGATTTTGGTCTATTTTGCTTCCATAACTTGTCTTTATTCAGATTATTGAAACTAAACATCCAAAATACTCATTTAAAAGGCATAGTTCATCCAAAAATCAGTTGCTCAAAATCTGTATGAATTTCTTTCAGCTGTTGAAACAGCTGACGGTAGCCATTGACTTAAGAAAAGAAATACAAAATTCCCTATATGAAAACCATTAACTCTAGATATCAACAAAATCAAACATTTATTTAATGTTCAGATTTATGTTCTGGAACTGTATGCAAATTGGTGCGTTGTTTAATTCACTAGTATCTCAACTGCATATATTAACATAACATTTTAGAAAATCTGCAATACAAAAAAAAGTAGGCTACCTAATGTACTCTTGTTTTACCCTATTCACCTGTTAGTGTCTTGTCTTAAAGGAATAGTTCATCCAAAAATGGAAATGTGCTGAAAATGTGCTCTCCCTCAGTCCATCCAAGATTGTTTCTTCATCAGATTTGGAGAAATGTAGCACTGCATCAGTGTCTCAGCAATGGATGCTCTGCAGTGAATGGGTGCCGTCAGAATGAGAGTCCAAACAGCTGTTAAAAACATCACAATAATCCACAGCACTCCAGTCCATCAGTTAACATCTGGAGAAGACAAAAGCTGAAACTAATCCAGCATTAAGACTTTTCTAACTAAAATACGAGTCCATAATAACTCTTCCTCCAGTGAAAAAGTGTTCTGGTGTGAATCAGGAGAGAAATCTGCACAGATCAAGCAGCGTTTAAACAGCTCTAAACACATATGTGGCTGATTTTGATGTGAGAGACAACAGGAGATGCACTTTTTCACTGGAGGAAG